GAAGTCGTCAGCTACAGCCACTCCACCAACAAGTACGGTTTAGACCTGGTTTAGTTCTGGTTTAGACCTGGTTTAGACCTGGTTTAGACCTGGTTTAGACCTGGTTTAGACCAGGTTTAGACCTGGTTTAGACCAGGTTTAGATTGGGTTTAGACCTGGTTTAGACCTGGTTTAGACCAGGTTTAGATTGGGTTTAGACCTGGTTTAGACCTGGTTTAGTACTGGTTTAGACCTGGTTTAGACCAGGTTTAGACCTGGTTTAGACCTAGTTTAGACCTAGTTTAGACCAGGTTTAGACCTGGTTTAGACCTGGTTTAGACCGACTTTAGACCGGCTTTAGACCGGGTTTAGACCGGCTTTAGACTGGGTTTAGACCGGGTTTAGACCAGGTTTAGACTGGGTTTAGACCTGGTTTAGACCTGGTTTAGACCTGGTTTAGTCCTGGTTTAGTTCTGGTTTAGTTCTGGTTTAGACCTGGTTTAGACCTTATTTCTTTCTGGTGTTTTAATGACATTTTCCTGTGTGCAGATATGAAGTGGACGACATCGATGAAGAAGGCAAAGAGTGAGTTACATCACTGCAATATTACACCTGATTAACTTTTATCACTTTCCTGAGAGTTTTTCCTGAGAGTTTTTCCTGAGAGTTTTTCCTGAGAGTTTTTCCTGAGAGTTTTTCCTGAGAGTTTTTCCTGAGAGTTTTTTTCTGAGAGTTTTTTCTGAGAGTTTTTCCTGAGAGTTTTTCCTGAGAGTTTTTTCTGAGAGTTTTTCCTGAGAGTTTTTTCTGAGAGTTTTTCCTGAGAGTTTTTCCTGAGAATTTTTCCTGAGAGTTTTTCCTGAGAGTTTTTTCTCTGAGTTTTTTCTGAGACTTGTCTTGTGTTGCAGGAGACACACTCTGAGCAGACGCAGGATCATCCCTCTGCCTCAGTGGAAGGCAAACCCAGAGACCGACCCTGAGGCTCTGTTCAGTAAAGAACAACTGGTCCTGGCCCTGTACCCCCAGACCACCTGCTTCTACAGAGCCCTGATCCACGCCCCCCCACACAGGGTACATACACACACACACACACACACACACACACACACACAGGGTACACACACACACACGCACACACACAGGGTACATACACACACACACACACACACACATACACACACACACAGGGTACATACACACACACACACACACACACACACACAGGGTACATACACACACACACACACAGGGTACATACCACACACACACACACACACACACACACAGGGTACATACACACACACACACAGGGTACATACACACACACACACACACACACACAGGGTACATACACACACACATACACACACACACACACACACAGGGTACATACACACACACACACACACACACACACACAGGTACATACACACACACACACACACAGGGTACATACACACACACACACACACACACACACAGGGTACACACACACACACACACAGGGTACATACACACACACACAGGGTACATACACACACACACACACACACAGGGTACATACACACACACACATACACACACACACACACACAGGGTACATACACACACACACACACAGGGTACATACACACACACATACAGGGTACATACACACACACACACACACACACAGGTACATACACACACACACACACACACACAGGGTACATACACACACACACACAGGGTACACACACACACACAGGGTACATACACACACACACACACACAGGGTACATACACACACACACACATACACACACACACAGGGTACATACACACACACACACACACACAGGGTATATACACACACACACACACACACAGGGTACATACACACACACACACACACACAGGGTACATACACACACACACACACAGGGTACATACACACACAGGGTACATACACACACACACACATACACACACACACACAGGGTATATACACACACACACACAGGGTACATACACACACACACACATACACACACACACACAGGGTATATACACAGACACGCACACACACAGGGTACATACACACACACACACACACACACACAGGGTATATACACACACACACACAGGGTACATACACACACACACACAGGGTACATACACACACACATACACACACAGGGTATATACACACACACACACACAGGGTACATACACACACACATACACACACACACAGGGTACATACACACACACACACACAGGGTACATACACACACACACACAGGGTACATACACACACACAGGGTACACACACAGGGTATATACACACACACACACAGGGTATATACACACACACACAGGGTATATACACACACACACACACACACAGGGTACATACAAACACACACACGCACACACACAGGGTATATGCACACACACACACACACACACACAGGGTACATACACACACACACACACACACACACAGGGTACATACACACACGCACACACACAGGGTATATGCACACACAGACACGCACACACACACACACACACACACACAGGGTATATACACACACAGACACACACGCGCACACACAGGGTATATACACACACAGACACACACGCACACACACACAGGGTATATACACACACAGACACGCACACACACACACACACAGGGTACATACACACACACACAGGGTATATACACACACACATACACACACATACACACAGGGTATATACACACACACACAGGGTATATACACACACAGACACGCACACACACACAGGGTATATACACACATACACACACACACAGGGTATATACACACACAGACACGCACACACACACACAGGGTATATACACACACACGCACACACACAGGGTACATACACACACACACAGGGTACATACACACACACGCACACACACAGGGTATATACACACACAGACACACACACACACACACAGGGTATATATACACACACAGACACGCACACACACACAGGGTATATACACACACACACACACACACACACAGGGTATATACACACAGACACGCACACACACACAGGGTATATACACACACACACAGGGTATATACACCAGGAACATCAGCGACATGTAACATTGGCAAAGCTGCAGACGCACAAACTTTTAAAAGCTTCAATTTACACCAGAAGGAACAGAGCCTCTGTGTATTCTCACGTTTAAACTCTAAACTCTGTGTGTTCTCACGTTTAAACTCTAAACTCTGTGTGTTCTCACGTTTAAACTCTAAACTCTGTGTATTCTCACGTTTAAACTCTAAACTCTGTGTGTTCTCACGTTTAAACTCTAAACTCTGTGTGTTCTCACGTTTAAACTCTAAACTCTGTGTGTTCTCACGTTTAAACTCTAAACTTTTCCCATAGTTCACGTTTTCGTTGTTGATCGTCTCTGTTATGTTTTAAATCTCTAAACTAAAGTATCAAGAATCGAAGTTTTGCAGTGTTACGAGTCGTATCTGTGGAGCTGCGTTAATGAAAATAGCAAGGTTTAATGCCACACTGTGGAACATTCCAGACAAAATGACCCTCCACCAGAAAAGTTACACAATGCAGCTTTAAATGTAAAAGGATCAGGATGTGCGCAGCTGCTTTACAACTGTAAAACTTCAAAAATGAGATAATAATGAGATGTTTTTCTCGTCTCAGCCCCAGGACGACTACTCCGTTCTGTTTGAGGACACTTCGTACGCAGACGGTTACTCTCCTCCGCTCAACGTGGCGCAGAGATACGTGGTGGCGTGCAAAGAGAACAAGAAGAAGTGACGGCGCCCTCTGGTGTGCAGGCGCTCTACTGCACTTTTCACTCTTTGTATGTTTATGTACAGTTCTGATTTATAAAAAAAAAAAAAAGTGAACAAATGCTGCGTCTGTGGATTCTTTTTTACTCAAAACAAAAAAACAAAAAGTTCAGATCACAATGAAGAACGGAGCCATAAAAGTTAATCTGGAAACAGGCAAAACACCCATTTGTGACTGATTATTGAGGAATATAAATTTAAAAACTACAAACTAGACGAGCTGTTTTAAGTATCGCACAAGGACAATTTAAGCTTAAATTAAAGCTCCAGTACGTGACTTTTTGGCAGTTTCGTTTTCACCTGCACGATCACATGAAAACAGAAACTTAAACCATATTTTGGAACATTTTACTGCTTTTATACTGTGGTTTATTATAGCAAATGAAACAATAGTTCCATGGAAACGGGGAGGCCCTCCGAATCAGGTTTGTGGAGATGCGAGCCGTTACCCAGTGCAATAAACACAACCAAGGTGAAAAATCATACTTTTATTTAGCTGTTAAGTCTATTTTTTTTTGGCAAAAGGTTACATACTGCAGCTTTAAGTACAAATAGTGAGAAAAATAAAATAGAAAGAATTAAGATTTATTTACAATCATATTTTGAACATAAACGCTACAGCTGTAATTAAATTGATACTGTGTGTTTAGGTTTCTTTATTTTAATACATTATTTGAACATAAAAAAACTGATTTGTGCTGTTAGTTAACCAAGTCCCTCTCAAATAATATTACATTTATAAATTAGCAAGTTTAGCGCATTGGTCAATATTTTGTCTTACTCTTTTTGTTCAAATCAAACTCCTGAACAAGACCACGAACGCTCGGACTGATCACAGCAAAATGAAAATGTGCTCTTTTAATCCATTTTGTATTTTTTTTCTTGAATTTTCAGACAATCTTGAAAATTTTTTGGCGTTTGCGTTTTCTATTGTGTGCGTCTTGTCACCATGGTAACGGCCGAACAAGTCACCGCAAATGATCGTGATTCATAAATGTTGTAAAGTAAATTAAATTAATTAAATATACTCATATATATATATATAGAACACATTAATTGCTGAATACATGAATAAGATATATAATAAAATTAAAATTAAATACATGTTTTTTGTTAACGAAAGCGGAAGTGTCGTCATAACCCGCCGGAAGTCCAGGCGCTTCAGATCAAGTCGCGGTAAAGGAGCGGATATGGCAGAGACGGTGAGTGTTTGACAGGCGCCGATTTAAGTCCAAAAAAAGCGGCTAAAACTCACAAATACGAACCTAAACCCGCATGTCGTGTTTCTAATTTAACTAACGAACACTCTCACGTTTGATTTTAAGACTTAAGTTTCAAAAAATGCGGATAAAGCGGGTGTAGTGGGGCTGCTGTTGTGCCGCCCGATCCGCGCCGGGTTAACGGATGAACACAGATGATGAAAGTTGTGGTTTTTAAGTGTGAGAAAAGGAAAGAGTTCAGTAACAAAGCGTCTGTGGACTCGTAATGCTCTGGTTTTATAAAGTCACGTGTGTCCAGATGGAATGGACAACGTCAGGTGATGTTAAATGAAAGAATAGAGACGAGGAAGAGAAGAATAATGTTGAGGTGAAGGGAGGAGAGGAGGAACAGAGGAGGAGAGTTTTAGAAGATGCAGAAGAGGAGGAGGAGAGGGTAGGTAGTAGAGCCCGACCGATACAGATTTTGTTGTGGCCGATGTGATACCGATACAATGGTAGTTGGAGCTGCCGATATAATCGCCGATATATTTAGTGATGTAAAAATTCACAGTAAATCTTGAATTATTTAAAAAAAAAACTTAGGTTTGGCTCTGGTGGATTTTAAACTGGGTTTATTTAAGCAACATTTATTGTTATTCTGCCTCTTTACATGAAATGTCATAGGACTAAAGCAGGTCTAAAACAGAACTGAACCAGGACTGAAAAAGGACTAAACCAGGACTAAAACAGACCTAAACCATGTGTAAAACAGGACTAAACCAGAACTGAACCAGGACTGAGTGTTGGGACTCCGTCTCTCCCTCACTCCCTCTCTCGACCCCAAGATTAGTCCTGGTTTATTTATTTTATGCTGAATATATTTATGCACACGCAGATTTTTGAAAGTTTAGTTTTTAGTCGCTGTCAAAATACCAAGAGTCTGTACGCGACGTGAAGAGAAAAAAAGTGAGAGAAAGAGAAAACACGACTCCCAATAAGGATCAGGCTTCCGTCGTTCGCTTCAAAGAGCCGAATCTAAGAGCCGCTTCGTTTGCGACCGACCCATAACTCCTAGCTAGTAAAGAAACTACCACTATTAGCCTTTAGCCGTAAATGCTGCGCCGCGGTCATTAATTCTATGTGTAAATGTGGATCATTCACA